CCGTTTTCTGCTTCTTTAATCTTGGTGTTCATTTTTTTTGTAACAAATGACTCAATTTCCATACAAAACTGTACATCTTTAAATTAAGTAACACATGAAATGTCTTTCCAACACTGCGTACAACTTGAGAAAAACACCAATACAACCTTATTTGCTCTGTCAACTTGGAGATGTATGTGTGCAGCAGTAGCAGGATTTTTATTGGTCCAGCTTTGTAAAACTTTACGGCAGTGAGCTGTGACTGCTCTCACTGGAAGGTCTTATCATAAGTTTACAGTCTGAGTCTGAGGTATTCACTGATTTAGTGGCTTTCATTCTACACACACACACACACACACACACACACAAAAAGACCCACACACACATCTCTGCTGAGCAACAAAGCACAAAAATGACCTGGTTTGAAGTCCAGCAGTCAGCCTTCTATTTGCTTATCACTGCTGGAGGGCCACAGTCACGCTCTGCTGTTATCTGCAGAGCAATAGAGGCACACTGTAAGCATTCAGACTCCCTCTCTCTTTCAGTATCCAAGAGAAACCGCGACAACAAGCACAAAACAATCCCCACATTTTGCTCTCAGGTTCTTTCCACAAGTGATCTGTTTTCCTGAGAATGTTCAAGAAGTCCTGTAAGTGTGTGCGTCCGTCGCTGTCACGGTTTAATCACAAGGCCAGACCGAAGGAGAGTCTGAAGGCCATCTCGACAGGAACCTCTGCCACAGAGTCGTGGAAACACACGTAGAATTCCTGAGGGACGGGCTCGAGCAGCATCCGTCTGAAACGCAACAAACAAAGAGAGATAAGATTGAGACTTTTCCAATGATAAGTTGAGAAATAATCTTTATAAATACAGCACTTAACAACGCAGTAACCAGGAGCTCTGACAGAAACGGCTCTGTGGAGTTTTATTCTAGATCTTGAAACAATGAGAAGACATGAATCAATTTTAATACATGATTTAGTTGTATCACTGTCTCACAGACATCCTTATTCCATCAATTTGTCTTCCTTCTCGTTAGTATAGTGGACAGTATCTCCGCCTGTCACGCGGAAGACGCAGGGGTTCGATTCCCCGACGGGGAGTTTCTTTTAACTCAAGAAGCAACTTTCCCTTTAACCCTGATTCTATTTCTTCCCTGTTTGTTGATATTTAGGGACGGAGCCGGCGACCTGGAGCTCCCTATTGTATTTGCTAGAACTCTTATTCTTCTTATCTATTATTTTTAGACCCTCGACTGCATTTTTGCCCCCTGAACATTTACGAAAACTCAATTTTATTTGGCGAAGTGGTGAAAACAGACGTATTTTCTAGGGCTCCACTATGAGCATGGCAAAATGGCCCTTCAGGGGCCCATAAACTGACCATCCGGGCCCATTCACCGATATGCGATAAAAATCGGCACACGGTAGATCTAGTCTTTATCCAGACGAACTAAAAATCAGTGGGCGCCATACGCCAAAAACCCAACAGGAAGTCGCCATTTTTGGATTTAAGCGGCCATATTTGGCGATTTGCACAGTTGTAATCCTTCCCAGAGGATTGATCGAATCGGGCTTAAGATTGGGGACGGAGCCATCTAAAGACATTCATGATAGAAGTCTGGCTAATTTCATTTTCCGATCGAACAGGCAGTACAGTGCGTGAGCACGTCCATTTCGACACCTTCGCCATGAAAGGGGATTTATAATTCTGCGTACGTTGATCCCGTCTCAACGAACTTCGTTTGATAAGATTCCCGCCCTGAACCACGTCTATGTGATAATATTCAGTAACGTGAGAGCCCACCTAGTGTGAAAGAATGTCATTTTTTTAAAGTCCATGTTGTACTACCTAGCAGGAGATCAGATCCAGCTGAAAATGTGTCGAGGAAATGCATAAAACATGTTCTTTGATGATATTTCATGATCGTTGTGGAGTTGTGGTCGTTGGCGTCAACTTCTGCAAATCTCAACGATTTCCCTCGGATAAATAAAGTCCATCTATAATCTTATTCACTAATGTTTGACAACGATATAAGTCTTACTATATTATTCTTCACTGCCACTAAATACCACATATGTCAGTCTTAAGGACCAGAGTTTGGGATTTAGTGGCATCTAATAGTGTAGTTACAGATTGCAGCCCACTTCCTTCTTCTCACAGATGTCTTTTGGATCTTTGTCCGTTCCTCGTTAGTATAGTGGACATTATCTCGCGCTGTCACGCGGTAATGCGGGGTTCGATTTCCGACGGGAGTTTCTTTTACCTCAAGAAGCAACCTTCCTTAACCGGCTGATTCTTATTCTTCACATTTTCATATTCCTGAACAACCATAATTGATATTTATATTGCACTCTTTCCCTACTTTGCTCTGCAGGCTGCTGACACAACAATGTTTTCCCTCAAGGATAATAAATGATCCACCTACAAGTCTATTACTCAGGGATAGCGTTCTCAGGGGCCCATTCCTCTACACCCTGGTTACCCAATGCCTGTGTCGCCCCCACACAGGAACAACATTCATCCTGAAGGTTCGCGGATGACATGCAGTGAATCGGTCGCATCACTGGGGGTTGACGAAGCGGGCCCTACAGGAGGGAGGTGGCGGCATCTAGTGGCATGGTGTGATGACAAACAACCTCTCCCTCAACACAAACAAGACAAGGGCGATGATAGTTGACATGGAGGAAGGAGAGGAGACTATCAACCACTGCTATCCGGGAGCTTTGAAGTGGGAGAGGGTGAGCAGCTTCAAATACCTGTGGTGTCCACATCAGTGAGGGACTCACCTGGACACTGAAATCCTCGCAGCTGTTTAGAAGGGCCCACAGGGCTGTATTTCCTGAAGGAGCTGAGGAAGTTTGGCATGTGGCCCAGGATCCTCAGCAACCTTAAGGCTGAGTGGTTGAGAGCACCAATAACCAGATGCATACCACAGCGGTGGTTACGGACACACTGTGAGTTACTAAACCCTACTGAACAGTTGACAGGAGTCACTCAACGTACCAACCTCGTCACTTTACACCTCGTATTCTGTTCCAACTTGTTTTGCACATCCAATTAGCATTCATGGCACACTGCACATCAGGACCTTTTAAAAATTACTGTTAAATATTGAGTTTTTTTATTTGTATCTTTCTCTACTGTTAATTATTAATATTGTCTTTATACTCATTATGGGTAATATTGTTTTGTTATATGTTTATATTTGTACCTTAATGTGTCGCGTATCAGGGTGACAGCGAAGAGAAGAATTTCACTGCAAGGAGGAAACGTGCTTTTTTTGTTGCATATGACAATAAACATCTTTGAACTCCTTTGGAAACTACGGTTTTGGTTCACCTGATCGCACTACCATCAAAAAGTCTCAGTCTCGACCTGAAACCTGAATTCAGGTCGTGGTGTTATCTTTAGGCGGCTTTGACTTTAACACAACTTCTTCCATCTCAAGCTGTTTGCCCAGGTTGGTGTGAACTGTGTAGTGAGCTGTGGTCTGAGGTTGAGAGTTGTAGAACTGTTACTTATTTAGCCTGGCAGTCTCTACTCAGGCTTTAACCTTCCTCGTTAGTATAGTGGACAGTATCTCCGCCTGTCACGCGGAAGACCGGGGTTCGATTCCCCGACGGGGAGTTTCTTTTGTTTACCTCCCTCCTTCTTTGTACTGCAGCAGCTCTTTCACATTCCTATTTTAACCCCACCTCTGACCTCCCTTCCCCCACCACTCTTCTCTTTGAATTGCTAATACTGGAAGCCTCTGAAGCACGTGTTCTAAGCACCACCAGTGAATTCAGCACGGGACAGTCTTCCCTCCCTTTCAACTACACCACCGTACAACGCTGCTGTTTATTCCTCACAGGGATCATTTTAGTGACAGTGATCTATTATGACTCGGGTTAAAACACAAAGCTGAGTGGTTGCATTCCCTGTTTCTGGAGCCACGGGTATTTCCACTGGTGCAGAACTAAATCTCACCAGACGTGTTTTCCCTGAGCTCCAGCACTCCAACGTGTCTCTTGTCGTTTGAGAATGAAAATAACAAAATAGTCTTATAAAAAAGGGGGAAGTTGACGTACCCTATAACCCAGTACGTCATGGTGGGAGCAGGTTTCCTCTGGTCGGTCCAGTTCTCAGGTTTACACTGAAACAGAACCCCGTGTTCCTTCACCGGTCCCAGACCCCAACCACCGCCCTGAGGCCTGTCTGCAGCCCGACGGCCCTGTAACAATGTATATATTCATACAAACATAATATAATAATAATATAACCCTATAATATACACAATATGTTGTTGTCTTCCCAGAGAGGTTGGTTATAACAATCACAGTTATCACATGGACCATTGTCCTTCCTCGTTAGTATAGTGGACAGTATCTCCGCCTGTCACGCGGAAGACCGGGGTTCGATTCCCCGACGGGGAGTTTCTTTTGTTTAACTCTCTGCGACCGCTCTTTCACATTCCTATTCTAACCCCACCTCTGACCTCCCTTCCCCCACTTTCTTTCATACAGAAACAACTTTACCAATAACTTTCTTTATATTTTTGGGTTTGTGTATATTTATAATTTTGTAGATTTTGGATAACTTTACACTTTCAACTTCATTGATATTTTATGTTTGCGCTCTTTCCTACTTTTTACTGCTACTGTTGATTACTATCTAACCCTCGGGATAAATTACATTCTGTCTTATACTACAGCCTTTATATGATTCAAACCAACACAATTCAGTCATGCTATTGTCTCAGTCTTGACTTGAAACTGAATCAGGTCGTGGTGTATCTTTAGGTGGCTTTGACTTTAACACAGCTTCTTACTATCTCATGCTGTTTGTCCAGATTGCTGTGACCTGTGTAGTTAGGTGAGGTTGAGACAGTATTTATTTATAACCGTAACTCACCCTGGCTGGCAGGCTCTGCTGAAAAGCGGCCCGTATGGAGAGGCAGCAGTGGTGGAAGTTGCGGATGAGCTGTGGGTGAATGGAGCCGCTGAGCTGAGCCACCTCTCTGTGGGTAGGAGCGATAAAGATGCCCTGAACGTTTTCCATCAGGACATAGTGGAACAAGGTGTTCTCTGCTCCCGAGGTGAGTCTGTCACAAACAGGAACGGGACAGGAAAATTAGGTTTTTTACCTTAACATTAATTATATACGCAATTAGAATGAAGTAAAATGATTATTTCCACTCACTTCATGGTGTTATACATCTCCTCTGTCTCTCTTTCAGTCAGGGTCTTCTTCAGGGTGCCCAGGTAGAACGGGTTTGGGTGCTTCATCCTGGAAATCTGACGTCAGAATATTACAATTCATTATGATATTAAAGCAATACGGTGAGAATATGGTCCAATAAAATCTGATTTGTCTGAGATTAAGGTTAGAAACACTAAATCTAAAAGTCTGTTTTCAGAGACATTCAACAAATTCTACCTCATAGACCAGAAAACAAAATAAATCTATGACGTTGCCTTCTGTTCCAACTAAAAGTCAACGTGGGCGTGTGTTTAAAACAGGTATAAAACAAAGCTTCACAATCACAATTTCTGTTTTATTTTTAATAATAAGCCTTTTGAATTGAAATAAACATTCATCTGGTTTACAGGCCGCATCAGAAAAAACATATTAGGAGATATTTCTGGGATACAAATGGTACGTTTCGTTTTTCTTTTTTAAAGTAATGAGACGACATATTTTGTGTCCAGTCTGGGGTTGTTTCATTTCAGTCTGCATCTCTCTGCCCTCATTTCTTCACTTTCAGGAATCAATTACAGGCAAAAGCATTAAAGAATACCTATCTTGTAATGAGAAATCTTTAAAAAAGCTGTTTTATAGTAAACTAACAGGCAAACAAATAAACAACCAAACAGGAACAAACATAAGTTTCTTAACAGACTCAATAAAAGACCACAACTGACATATTATATTTTTATAATATAATATTTGTCCTACAACTTCTGCACAATTTCCCCCGATTTCCCTCAGGATAAATAAAGTTCCACGTATTACGTATATTATTATTATTCTTTACTGCCACTAATCACACCACTATGTCAGTTTAAGGACCAGAGTTTGGGATTTAGTGGCATCTAATAGTGTAGTTACAGATTGCAGCCCACTTCCTTCCGTCTCACAGACGTCTTTTGGACTCTTGTCCTTCCTCGTTAGTATAGTGGACAGTATCTCCGCCTGTCACGCGGAAGACCGGGGTTCGATTCCCCGACGGGGAGTTTCCTTTTACCTCAAGAAGCAACCTTCCCTTTAACCCTGATTCTATTTCTTCACATTTTCTATATTCTGGACAACCGTTAATTGATATTTTATATCTGCACTCTTTCCTACTTTGCTCAGGATAAATAAAGATCCACCTACAATCCTATTACATAATATTCTGGTGTTATAGCTGACAGTGTCCTATAACCCTTACTTATACTACACATTGCTGCTACTAATCACACCACCATGTCACTTATCTTCAGACCGTATTACAGGTTTTACTTTGAGTGCAACACTAGCTGTGGTTACTGTATGTATACTTCTATTACTAGTAGTAGTAGTTCAGAGTTTAGTTGCTCTATCTATCTTTACCTTAAAGAGGCCTCCGCTGCCTCCGCTCCCATCAGACCCTCCAGACCCCAGCGAGTCCCGACGCCCCCCAAGCTTCCTCGCCGAGTCCGGTGTAGAATGTGGACTGAGGCCTGGAGCCATTGATGAACCAGACCCCGACCCAGCATCCATCTGTCCCTCACTCCCGCTGTCCGACAGGCTCCTCTGGGGGCTGGACCTTCGGGCTTTCTCCCCGAACAGGCTGCGGCCTCTGGACCCCACGGAGGAGCCTTTAACTGCTCCGGCTAGCTTGCTGAAGACCGGGGAGGAAGAGGCCAGGCTGTCCAGGCGGTCACGGGCCGTGGCGGCGGGGAGGAACCAGTCAGCACAGGACAGGCAGGGAGCAGGTGGAGCATTCAGACGCTCCTCAATACCTGCCTCCAACACCTCCAGCTGCAGCAAGGTGGCCTTCACCTGAACGTACGAGAGTTTCAGTTTATATTATAGCGATGAACAGACTTGGTTATTTCTGGTTCTTTTGGTTGCACAAGCAGTCCCAGTGAGAACACGTTAGAAATGTACATTGAGTTCAACAAGGTTCACCTGATCGACGTAAACACAATCAGGTCCTGGAGAGCCCAAAGCTGGTGAAGCACATCCACCTGCCTCCAACAGCACACACTGCATGAAGTGCCTCTGGGGTGGAAGGATACATAAATACAAGCAGAGAAAATATAATTGGTACCACAACAATATATTTCTATGACAGGAAGAGAACAGAAATGATGGAGGGATGAGAGATGGACAGAAGCAGATATTTTACCAAACAAACCAAATGAGAGGATAAAAACCTTCTGAGAGTCTGATTGTACTGCTTCATGTATGATTTTTGCAATAACTGGAGGACGTTTGTGTAAAACAAGAGACAGAAGCAACCACCAGACAGCAACTCGCCTCCTTACCAGCCCCACTATGAGGAGGAAGTGTCGTCCTTGAGGTGGGCTGTAGCCCGGCGCTGGGCTGCTGCTGCTGCTGCTGCTGCCGTTAGATCTCTGCTGGGGAAACACCTCCCTCCAGATGACCAGCTGACCCACCCGCTGCTCGGACGCCAGCGGCAGCAGGCAGTAGTGCTGGCAGTACAGGCACACATCCAGCAGGTCCTCTTTAGGCAGATGGTTGGCGATCAGGTAGGACTGGAAGGTGAGTGTGCGATTGATTTAGTAAAATCTTTAGTAAGCAAATGCTGAGGGCTTAGGGCCAGCATTGTGAGTGAATATGGATAAATGTAGAGAGTACAAAAAGCCCTTTTCTAATGTTTATGGTAATGAACCTTGGCTTTAAAACAAATCTTTCACAGTCACATCTGGCACTTGGGAACATACATATCCATTAAGATGTGATACTGGGCCGATCCAGTCAGTTTTCACACCTTTACTGTAACAATACATACAACACAGCCTACTGCTTGCTGTCCTCCGTCTCCCTTTTCCCTAGTTAATATTTTAACAGTGTAATCAGGTTGATGATTTGTCACTGAGCCACAGAACAGGCCCATCATGTTCTCTTGTGTGAAAGGTTATCTTCTGTATACAGTGACTGTTCACTGGGGCTTCTATTGTTGCTGTTTAAGGATAGCTGTCTAGACGGTCGGGGAGGATATAAATACGATATGGTTGCTGGCGTGTGTGTGTGTGCGTGTTTGTTTGGACTAAGACACCCACCTTGTAGAACAAACAGGAGCCAAGAATCACATACAGACGCCTCAGGCCAAAAAAGTCCTCTGACTGTTAGAAAAATAAAAAAATAAAGACAAAGATAAAGATAAAAAAAACTATGAGAAAGTAAACAAAGACACAGATATTGGAAGAAGCTGACTGGAAATGTTAATGTCTCTGCTGTTTTCTGTCCTCAACTGCAGCTTCATGTAATCGGTTAAGTCTGCACGTATAAAGGACAAACCAGACCCCATTAGCGTCTCTCTCTCTCTCTCTCTCACACACACACACACGCACACCTCTAAAAATAGTCCAAACTTGTCCTCTCCCTTGCTGAGGCCAGAAGACAGATGGCATCTCAGCTAACATGTATGTTCACCCAACTAATGAGCAGCAGGATAACGGATCTTAACACAACATGAAGCACTGACGTAACTCAAACAGCACTTATTTGTGATCGGCCATTTAATAAGAAGAAACAGGATATATGTAAATATACATTTAGAAGTACTATATGCTTGCAAGACAGCAGGGCTAGAAAACTCTGAGTTCTAGGTTATTTGTTTGATGTAAAAGTGTGTCACTGATGACATGTTTTCACCATTTCTCACCATTTCTCCAAAATCAGAAGACTCAAAATCAGAGAGAACAGTGTCCACCTCCATCTGTGGATAAAGAAAAATAAAAACAAGCTTAATAACATTTAATTATCAGGTTTATTGCCATGTAAGTTTTGGTGCATAACAATAAACATAGTAAGAGAAAATAAAAAAAAAGAATAATCAATAAAATAGAATTTACAATAAAACAATATGTAAAATGTATTTGTGTTTAAAATAAAAGAGCTGTACAGAGTTGAAAAGAGGAGTTCACAGAAGTGCACAGTTTAAAATAAGGAGAATATTTGCAATGTGCAGAGATAATAATCCAAAAATATCATTAAGTAACACATTGAGTCCTATGTGGAGAGTACATCATGGCAAAGATACAATATATATAATCTCATGTTTGCCCAGTTTTTAAAGTGTTATGTATAGTCTTTGCTAATTCATTGATCCAATATATTCCTGTACAGGACATGAATGTAATTTTAAACAAAGGACACTAGAGGGCACCACAGCAGCATTTGTGACAACATAGTCACAACCATAAGAACATGATGATATCCAAATAGCTGTGATTGCTGTTGCTGTATTACCTACTGCTCCAAGAATACATTTGATCTGTAATATTCCTGTCCCAGTCTCCTCACAAACACAGAAATGTACCTTGATTTCTGGGGGCAGCGTGAGCCATCGGACCGCCGGCAGTCCGTCGAGGAAAAGCGTCCCCGAAACGTCGGGGAGTGGGGCTGAGGAGACGTCCCTCAAGCGGGATGGCTGGATGAGCTGCTGAAAGAACAGGCAGAAGAAATGGTCCAACCTGGGAGCATGGTCGGCCTTACAGAAGGCACTGCGGAGGACACAATGAAGAAACGAGTGTCATGATAACAGTAATTTAAGTAATTCAACTACAAAAGAGTGATTACATTGTAAGAAACTAAGAAATAGTAGGGAAAGACATTTGAGGGCAAAGAAAAGGGGGTTAAGAGAGTAAGACAGTTTAGACCTTGTGTAAAATCCAGCTGGTGAAACACACTGTTTTTATTTCAGTATATTTTGCATTAAGCATATAATAATGCCTGCCAGAGAGAGGGGAAGTCTCAACCAGCTCTCTCAGCAGGACCACAGGAAAGCTAGGGCCGACCAACCTGTCTAAGGAGCCGTACATCACTTTTAGTGTCCGGACTACGTCTCCCACCACCGTCTGCAGATACAGCAGTGGAACCCTGGAGGGAAACGGAAAAATGTCAAACGCAGACTTGGATAAACTTCAATTTCAGCTGCTTATCAAATATTTGGAGTAACGGCCAGGAACCATGAAGGAAAAACATTTTATAAGTTATTGTTTTGTCTACACGTGGGTGTTCCTCAAGAATCAACCCTTTAGGCATGAATGAGACTGATTTTCAACCAAGATGATGATGGATTGGGGTCGACCTGACTGCTGAAAAATTAAAAGGTGGCTAATATGACTCATTTCATGAACTGTTTTACTACCACATGCCAACAAAGAACAAAAAGAGCACATGTGCTTGCTAAAATTGAGAAAAAATGATGGTCCTTTTTCAATTGTTTTTACAGATCGTGCTCTTAAATGTTTCCTCTCCTCCAAAAATTACTTCTTGAGCACAAGTCATGCTCAGAAAATGTATTACCACATCAGTATCAGCACCCGGATTTAAAAAAAAAAGAAAATGTGCTGTCAGATCTTTTACACAGGTGCCACATGGAAGCAACTCTTGCTGTGTAATATCTATCGATTTCTCAGCTGGCAAAGGCTGCAGTTCAAATGAAATATGGTGGAGCTATCTCGGTGTATTTGTCCTCCCTCTACCTTTCAGCAGGAAGACCGATGACCAACAGGTTGTTGCTTTCCTTCCAGTAGCCCACATGTACCAGATGTTTCCCAAGCAGGAGAGAAGAACTAAAGGGAGAGAAGACAAAAAAACGCCAAAATCAAAGCATATGTGACATATAGATCAGAAAAAGAGGAGGGCGGGGTTAACAGGAACAGAAATAAAATATATCCCACAATAGCCAAAATTATCTCCCAGCTCACTGTTGTTTTAAACTCAACTGTGAACTGCGTTGATATTTAAAACATCCAGAAGTGAACTGGCAGAAAAGTTAGGAATTTGGGGGAGCTACAACAAAAATAATTTGGGAACTCCTTAGTAAAGCTGGTTTCATCATCCTCAAATTCATGTTGATTGCTTAGTATCAGTTTTAAATAAAGAGCCATCTTTTCTTGTGTGCCATAGGGTTTGATTCGAAAGACAATTTTAAAGAAGGTGCTGTTTTTTTTTTACTTTTTTCCAAACAAAGAAGTGGGGAAAAAAAGATGGAAAAATAGCCCAGAACACTGCCTTTAATATACCCACATCCTCTTCATAAAACAACCAGTACTATGTCTGACAAAGTTAAAACGTTTAGAGAAAACGTGGTCTTAGTTAACATTTTACAGTATCATTGGTATTGATTAAAATTAATATGGTGTATTAAAGCCATTACACTTAAGTACAGGAAGATTATTATTATAGCCGTAAAGCTGTTAGAAATCATTAAATTATAAGACTCATGCCCCCTAAAGCTAAAACAATTCAACTAGTTGTTTTATATTTTATATAGTTTTAGTTTATATTATTTATTCAATAACAAATAAAACTAAAACTAAAAAAGCATCTAATGATGTAGCTGCAGATTAGTACCGGACTGTTGGTAGGACAAAACAAAACATTTAGGAAGGAAAGTACCTACATGTTGCAGTTGTGAAAAAAAATGCTGAATTACTATTTGTTCTTCATGCCGCTTCCCTTACCTGATAATCTGCCCGCCTGTGACATTCTCCAGCATGTCACACAGTGTAAGGAAGATCCCCCTCACTCCTTTCAGCTGGCTGGATGCTTCAGACACCGGGTACTGGTACAAGATCTCCTCCTGCTGACACAAACAATGTGTAATTTGGAATCTGTGAAAATTATACACGCAGCAGAAAGAAAAAATCTGTGGTTAGCCTATCAATAGAAAATGTCACATAAAAATGTGAAATATCTGTTGTTGGAGGCTACAGTTTCCTCTGGGTTACGGACAAAGAAGAAGAATGAACAGAAGAACCACTGAATGTTTATTTTGTCACCTCAACAATGTCAGTTTGGTTTCAGTTTTACCATCCAACCCATTCTCAATTTGGAACAAACAAAGAAATTTCACTTTAAAGACGAATGTTGCTGAAATATTTTACATGTTTGACTTTCCAGAGTAAAGAAAACCAGATTCAGCAAAAACAGGAATTTGACTGAAGCAGAGAGAAACTCTCATCTGCTGTGAAAATGGCTGTGCACACATTGTCAAAGAGTACAAAGGACCAAATGTCAGGGGAAAAAAAGACCCTTCATACAAACTATGAAGCAGAGACGAGAGAGTGCTCTGGGTAGAATCTGTGTATTGTTTGAGATATTAGTATTCCTCCCAGCATGCTGGCAACTTTGAAGGCTACAGGACGGATAAGAGCCGAGCAGCTGAGAGGATCAGAGGGCCGAGTGGTGGGTGAGGGGATAAAAACCTTGAATGAACAAACCCTTATAGCCTTGGCAACACGAACAAAGACAGAATAAGAACAGCCAACACAGTAAAACGCTTGAGCTACATCTTGTCCATACATACAAGCAAAAAAAAAAAAAGCCCAGATCACAAAAACATCACACAGTTAAAACTCAAAAATATCACCACTAAACCTCTCCAATTCCCGCTACCCTGCAATCAAAGGACTAAAAAATCAAAGTCAGAGTTTAACGGGTTCCTGCATGGCACTGTCATTTAGAAAATCAACTGCTGGCTGATGTGGCTCCAGACAAACCGTATTCTTCCTCTCCACTGACGTTCAGGTCAAGAAAAAAAAAAGTTTTTAAATCTGGCTCGCAGATACGCAAAAACTGCAGAACCATAAAGTACAACCATAAAGAAAACATCAACCTGCCAATAGTCGTCCACAGGGAAAATGTGATTATAGTGTAGGAGGTGATGGTCAGCAAATTAGTAGTTTGCTGCTCGGAGGAACAAAACACACACTTTGGGATTAACACTTCACTACAAGCTGATTGCATCCTACCTTATGGGTTATAACAGAGCCCTGTGCATTGATCCAGTTTAAAAAGGAAACGTGTTATTTAGTTTATACAGTTGTATGTGTTTGGGCTTCCCTTGACAAATAACCTATTTTGGTTTTTAAGTATATGGAACCAATAATATATTATTTTCAGTAAACATTCATGAATTGAACAGCGTTTGCAGAGGTTTTGGCACCCTACCCGGTCAATACCACCTGTGCAATGTTTCCTGTGCCATTGGCTGCAACACAACCCCAAACAATGACATATCCACCCCCAAGCAGTTGGGGACGGTTGCTTTTCAGGAAACGCTGCTCCTTTTTTTCTCCAAACAAATCCTTGCTGATTGGGGCCAAAAAGTTAAATTTAATCTTCATCAGTCAACAGCACTTTTTTCCAAAACCAATCAGGCTTGTGTAGATGGATTTTATAATGTGGATGCAGGTGAGGTTTTCTTCTACTGACTCTTCCATGAAGGTCGTGTTTGTACATGCAGCTCTGCACAGTGGAACTCTAATCTTCCTGTAGGTTTTTGCATTCCCATGGGGGTTTTGATTTGCCTCTCTGACCTGCATACAAGCAGTTCTCTCAGAGAGTTTTCTTGGTCTTCAAGGTCTCATCTTGGCCCACCACAGTTCCCCTGAACTGCCATTTCTTAATTGCATTTCACACGCAAGCTGACAGTGCTTTGCTATCATATTGTAGCCTTCTCTTGCATTGTAGACATTGATGGGCATCAATAACTTTTATTTTCAGAGTCTCACGCAGCTGCTTAGAGGGACCCAGAGTGTTTGCACTGTGTAAAGCTTTGAAACTGGCACCAGCTGACGCTTCCTGATGAGCTGATAAAGGTCTAAAACCTTTTAAAAAAAAACTGAGACTGCAAAACTCTTAGGTTGCCCAACAGTTGTACTTGCCAAAATTAAGCATTAATGTTTGCTGTAAATATTGTGTCTAAAAGTTAAAAAATTACCCAAATATTATTTGTCAAGGGGTACCCTAACTTTAGCATACAACTGTATGTGTGGATTCACCCTAGAGAGAATAAAGTTCACCGCATTAAAATGACAGATCGTTTATTGACAGGAGCTGCGGTTGGGGCCGGACGCCTCAACCTGTCCCATTTCTTTCTGCCTTCTGTTAGTAGCAGCCGCAGGCATTGGACGCCATCCAGAGTAGTAGTTTACTGTAAGAGCCTGACTCACGTCGGAGAAATTCTGAGAAAGCTCTATTCCTGGATTTCCTGCACAACTCAGGTCATTCTAAACACTCAATTATCAGAATATACCTCCGTACTGGAGCATGATGAAGGATTCAAGCTTGTAGTGTAGATAGCGTAGCTACAAAGTTTGAGCTGTTCACGAAATGAATCAATGGTTCCTCCATTTTTGATTCAAGGACTGGTTACTTAAATAGAAAATCACCCGTCCCTGGGTGGGCTTGAACCA